AGGGCATATTCTGCACAAGAGGGTAACCCTGCGAAAATGAATCTGCAGTCAAGGAACACAGCGGTATTTTACGAATTTGAAAGAGTTATATTACTGCAGTGATAAACAGAACACTGTTCATCAAAGTTTTTCATCATTTCCATTCAAATATAAACGGGCGCAAATACAAAGGTTTTAGCAAGGAATCAAAAACCCTTTCAAGTGCTTYGTTTTGTTCAAGGCTTCACTAACCAATCAAAATGCTGGGAAGTCTCTCTTTTATTCGTCTATATGTTGTAATTCGCCGTCTAGGTCGTAATTAAAAAAGATGATTGTGAATTAAGTATTTAACTACCTTCTAGAAAAAGACGCTTAAAATATAGAACTAGATTTCTTGTAAATCAATAGTTTATCGAAAAAATATTTTAAAATAAATTGAAAATTCTCGGGAAAGAATACAAAATTTGCGAACATCTTTTGTGTAGTATTGATAGGATTAAAAAAAATACACATCACGAATTAAAACAATTAATATTTTCCAAAGCTCTGTTTTATTTTAAATGCATTAGTATTATAAGATAATGAAATAAGACGATATCCTTTAGGAACCAGAACGCCTAGTTAATGAAATATCGGCACAAAGTTCGATGTAAATGCTTTGAGAGTTATATTCTTAGCCAATATTGTTTTTGAAAAATATCGATAATTATATTAATYATATATATATTTAACTTAAACCCAATGCAATATTCAGTAAGGGTAGCACAACTTTATAGCTGGTAAACTGAATGATTAGACGAAACTAATGATAGCAGAAAATTGCAAAATCTATGACTAWTCGTAGTCCGAGGTTTGCAAAGAATAATCTTTTAAATTTTACGTTAATTAAAATGCGTATTTTTTGCCATTCTTTTTAAAACTCGATTTCATTTTTAGCAATTAGTTCATTGAGTTGTGTTTTTGTTCGTTGGATCGTAGTTAATACAGTTCAAAACATTTTTTCTTACCTTTCAAAAGTTCAGTTTTCCTTAATCAGGCTTTAATTCAAAAGGCAAACAGATTTCAGATTAAGAGACGACGTTAACCGATGACTTGTTATAATGGTTCTTGTCAGTGGTAACCCTTGGTAATTCAAAGCTGTCCGTGATCCATGTGGTATTTCGACAAATGCTTAATGGCCATCTGGCAAAAATTTTTAAGACTCAGCACTTAGGGGGAAAATAATACTACTATAAATTGGCGTCTTATACTTAGCAATCAGCTTTGCGTCAAGGGTGCAGACGGCTTGGCCTTGCCAATTCTTCTTGAGCCCGTGATCATTTCGGTCTCCGTCGAAAAAATCAAAGGAGTTGGTGAATGTTGTTGGTGATGTGATTGGTCAACACAACCGGTCACTGTTGAATAGGAGTCTTATTGGGCAGAAAAATGGCTTGCTTTTATCTCTCAAACTCTAGCATATTCGGAAGTGGGCTATTTATCTCATAGCCTTGAAAATAGAGTCAGCATGACTTTTACTTGCTTAAGTAATTCAAAGTCACTATTGATTTAGAGTCTTATTGGGCAGAAAAATGGCTTGCTTTTATCTCTCAAAATCTATAGCATATTCTTATTAGGGCGTTCCTATTTCACTTTTTTTCTTTTGTTTTTCTAATCATTTCGACTAGATGTCGCGATCTAGTCTACATCACAAAAACTCATTATCTTTAATTCCTTTTTCTAATTTCTTTGACTTCGTTTTGATTCGATTGTCGTTGAACGGAGACGTGAGTCTTCCGTCAATTACTTTTCATCCCTACCTTGGTAAACAAACTGCTTTCTTTTTCTCTGSAGAAATGAGTTGTAAGAAGTAATTTTTAAATCCTCAGATCTTATATTGACTGCTGCGGAAAAATCGTGCAAGCATTGGAAATAATTTGACTGAAGGTGGTTGATTTTTTTTCGTTGAATATTAAATTAATGAAAACTATACAACTTTGAGTGTTAAAGAAAGTACACATTAACAAAAAATTATCGATGCAATTTGCGAACACATCACAACTCAATCAACTGAGACAAAAATCGCGTCAGATCATTTGAACGTGATTGGATAAGAGGAATTTTCTCGCTCTTTGATTGGTTCAAAACGAAAGCCACTTGATAGTCGAGATCAATCTCCCGTTTCATTCTAATATAGATACAAAATGATCTCCCAAGATAAAATTTATGGGAAAAAATCAACGTACCTGACTGTTGTTCTGCTTGAAGCAAGTTAGAGAGTATACTAATCCCAATCAATGATGACAAAGTTACAGTATCTGTACAACGATTATATAGAGTAACACCAATTGATTTATTATCTAGAAGTGACGTGAGCGAGCGTAAGTTATAGCGGATATCACAGCAAGGGTCACGTAAATATGAATCTAGAAAATACACACGTCATGTTGCGAACGTTTTTACCGACATGTTTTCTGGCGAAAGAGAAAAACAAAAATGGAGACTGAAGAGAGAGAGAGAGAGAGAGAAGAAAGAGGGCAACAAGTTTATAAGTGTTTGACTTTTGGGTGTTATCCTCTTGAAATATAGACTTCACTTCACTTCACTTCACAGAAAGTAAAAGAGAGATAATGAGAAGAAAGAGGGCAACAAGTTTATAAGTGTTTCACTTTTAGGTGTTATCCTCTTGAAATAAAGACTTCACTTCACTTCACTTCACTTCACAGAAAGTAAAAGAGAGAGAGAGAGAGGAGAAAGAAAGAAAGAAAAGGAAAGAAACAAACAAAGTAAAAAAGAAACAAAGAAACAAATAAGCTAACAAATATACAAACGTAGAATGAAAGAGAGAAAATAAGAAACAAAGTAGATGAAAAAAGAAACGAAGAAAGAAAGAAAAAATGAAAGAAAGAGAAAAGTGTTTCTTTACGCGAAAAGATTATAAATAAATATTATAGGAAAAGAACCATGGTTTACCCGAAGGCGATAGAAATCGAATTTCTAGAAGAAGAATTGGAAACAATGACTAATACGTTTGCTTAATTACCAAAGCAAAGTGTCAGTTGTTTAGTTTTTCACATTTTATTTTGAAGTCATAAAAATGACTCATAGTTCAGTGATTATAGACAAATTACTAGACTATTGTCGTTAGGTTTTTATCGTTAGAATATTCTACCAAGCCATTTATTCATGCACACATCCATGCATCCTGCTATCTATGTATCCATGCATGCATTCATCCAATCCCATACGTCCATATCTCTGTCCATCCGTCCATCCAATAGACATCTGTATTAGCGCAATATTTTCCGTCCGTCCGTCCGTCCGTCCGTCCATCCATCCATCTATCCGTCCTCCCATCCCTCCCTCCCTCCATCTATCCTCCCATCCATCCATCCATCCGTCCTCTCATCCCTCCCTCCCTCCATCCATCCTCCCATCCATCCATCCATCCATCCATTCATTTAATACTTTCATTCTCATTAAGCAGTCATTTCGACAAGTTCGTATGCAAAACGAAGGCACGCAACCTTCAGTTTACCAAAACAAAGTGAATCTATTTTTAAGTTTGTTGCGGGGTTCTAAAGCAAGTATTTGTCACTCTTAATGGCTGCCATTCTCCCATTACATTATTTTAAAAACCAGGAACTAAAGCACAAATCAAGTACCCCACTCGGTGTGCTATGCCCTCAGGGTAAGGAGTAAAATTACGCCATTAGATTGGTGATAAATCCAATCAGAATTATTTCTATTTTATGATAAAATTAAATCAATTTTTAAAAAAGTTAAAATTGGTAATTCTATTGTATAATATTTTTGTTATCTTCTCTCTTTCTCAAAATTGATCTTAAAGAAGAAAAAATTATAAATTATTTATCTGATAAGTTTTCAAAAATCCTTTTAAAAACACAGTAATGGAAATATAATCCACGAAATCGAACCATGAGAGCCGAAGAAAACCCCTAGCATCAAGGAAAAGTACAGGTAGCCCAAGTTTGGTTTCTGTGGTGTCATGTTATAAGGAAATGTATGGGGATTCTTCAAAAAAAATTCTTACTGGTGGGGGAAAAATCTTAAAACGGGTTAAATTCAAAAAATAACCACACAGAGTGAATTAAGTGCTATTTCCTAATGATCGGGTAAAATTTCAAGGCTTTATTTCACGTTTCAATGATTTTACTGAAATTTTTGAAGAATCCCCATACATTTCCTTATAGCAGGACACCACAGAAACCAAGCTTGGGCTACCTGTGGAAAAAGCTGGAGATTTTCAAAGAAGAAAAAATGAGCAAATTGAACAAAGTCGTTCGTCGATGAAGAGGCTTCACGAATTTGCAACGTCCCCTGTGATTGGTTAGGTTTAGGGTCGGGGTTGGGGAAAGATCGTCGTTTTCTATTGTTCTACRCATGTGCGCCCTCCAATAGGATCACATCTTGCAAATTCGTGAAGGACGACCCCGATGAAGTTTTGACTGATATCTAATTGAAAAGTCCAGAATGGATTCACAGAATAGGATCACATCTTGCAAATTCGTGAAGGACGACCCCGATGAAGTTTTGACTGATATCTAATTGAAAAGTCCAGAATGGATTCACAGATTGTTCAATAATCTTTTGTTTAATTACTAAAATTGAGTTCAGTTTTCACACTTTCAATTAGCCTTTCCGGAATTGTAGAAAGGCATTGTGGGGCTGGCTTGAGGAACGTTTCCCCACCAGTCAGTTGAAATTTTATGCAACGAGAAACGAAAGAAATTTGAAAATTAACACGGCAATTCAGATTTTCTTATACTTTTATACTACCTTCAAGCGATATAGACGCCATAAAAGTATTAAAACGTTCCCTAAAACAGCCCCATGATACAATTTCCTCCGAACTTTCCTGTCTTCTTGAGGTGTGTTTTGTTAAGTGACGTCATTGTCACATATGGTAATCAAGGTATTAATTCTGAGTAAGGTGGTGACCATGGACTTTTACTTTCTGTAATCTGTTCAATTAGTTTGACCTTAAAGAAATATTTCGTAACTGATTTTGAGTCCAAAGCCGAAATTCCTTATCAATAATTTTTATGAATTTAAGATAAAGTATTTCGAAAATGATAAACGTGGCCTCTATAGATTATAATAAACTTTTCAGCAACAGGCAATCACAAATATTTCAGTGTTATAGTTTACATTATTTACGTTTGTTGAGCTACCTTGAGTATATTTTAGCACAGTAAAACTACTAACAAAGAAAAAAAATCAAGGCTAGATTATTGTAATCTTCATCAACAATTCATCACAAGATATAAATTTTTACACCGCCTTGTTTTAAGTTAATACTTATAAGTCTATTGACCTACCTTAAGTATAATTTAGCAGAATAAAACTAACGACAAATATTCGAGGCTACACTATCATAGCCATCAGCAACAATTAACCACACAGATAACTCTTTTATACCTTATTTTAAGTCAATACTTACAGTTTGTGAGCTACCTTGAGTATAATTTAGTCGTAAATGTCCACGAAAATTCGAAAGGSTTGTTTGGTTTGTTTGAGAAAAACGTGATTTTCGGTCAATAGACTGTTAGCTTTCCGGTTTCTTAGTTTTGTCGTGCAGTATATAAACCGAAACAACCACGAAATGCTAATTACTCATTTCATGATATCAAGCTTTTGTTCAACATGAGTGGCGAAACTGATAGTGAACCACATTGTCAGCTGTAGATGATAAGACATGTTAATTAACTGTGGTAAAAACTAACCAAAAAGATCGTGGTATAGATGATTAGCTATTTTGAGGTTAAGGAAAAGATTGGGTTGGGTTGGAATTACAGTGCATTGCGGTAATGTTTTAGCGGAAATAGACCYAAGATGGCATTTCTTTCATCCCCTAAGACATTCACACAATCCATTTTAATGCTTTCTCGACCCAGTCTTTTGCTCAGCCATTCTGAGGTTGAGGAAAAGACTGGTACGGGTTGGAATAACAGTGCATTGTGGGAATATTTTAGCGGACATAGATCCAAGATGGCTTTTCTTTGATCCTCTTAAACAGTCCCACAATGCAATGTAATTCCAACCCGAACCAGTCTTTTTCTCAACAATGACCTATACCAATGCTTAAATGTTGTGTTTTAAAACCATCTCAAAATGATTTWAAAAATTAAAAAATTTTCACAACAGCCATGTTGGAGGGCAGGAAGAATGGAATGTATATTTACAGGACAAAAGATTTCATTTTCCAATGGATTTTTTAAATATTTTTTATTTTTTTGCCCTACAACAATTTTTTTGGTCTCTTTTCCTTATATTTCGTATATACGTTTTTTTTACCTACCTCCTCCTCTTACATTTTTTAAAAGTGGGTGTCTCAATTACTTACAATGATATACACATATTAATATTTTTACTATTCATGTTGCTTTTATTTTTCATTATTATTATTATTATTATTATTATTATTTTAATTATTTTTTGCCCTACAACATACACCCTTCTCATAATGGCTAATGAACGCACGGAAACGAGGTCACCCAGTCATCTTGCAAGGTTGAGCCAAGCTGCTCATTCAAAATAAAGGCTGTTAGCGCTAATTCAGATCAAAACAAAAGTCATTTTTTATACTTTTCTTCTTTAAAGTCATTTCATGTAATTTTATATCTTTTATCGTGAAATAATGACTGGGTGACCTCGTTTTCGTGCACTTGTCAGCCATTATGAAAAGGRTGTATGTCTGGCGTTTAAACCCATTTATTTATTTCATGAAAGGTTTTCCTCCCTCCACGAGGATCAGCACTTCCAAATGATACACCAGTTTTGCATTTACTGCGGTTTTTGAAGACTACAGGCTAATTTTTTCAGGTAAGATTTGTTTATATATCAGGCGGACCTCTTGCATGGGACGTCACAGCAGCTCAATTTAAACGACACAAAAGAATTTCAATCTTATGAGAATTTGAAACCTATAGTTATGTCCTTCAAATTTAGCTGCATTCCGACGTGAAGGGGCTTTACAGATACCATTAAAGTCCTAAATCTAGCAGATTATCTTGATTTTATTGATTCTAAACTAGGACGAGTACGGACCCCCTATTTAGAAAGTAGAAGTGGTTTTTGTTTTGCAAAGCTACAGCCTTTTTGTATTTGATTCTTCAAATAGACTTCTTTAAGCCCCGTCCACACGTATCCGGAAATTTTTGTATCCGCAATTTTTTTTTTTTTTGCGGATACGAAAATGTTCGCGTCCAAACGCAGCGTATTCGAATCGTTTTCGAATCGTTTTCACTGTCCACACGTATCCGGAAATTTCTTGATCCGCCCTGATGCACGCTAGTGCCTAGTCCCTTTGACGGACAGTTTTTCTTATTGAGCATGCGCACATCGTGTTTACGTCATCGTATTCGAAAATTTGCGGATACGACCGTCCACACGTATCCGAATTCGGAGCGTATTCGAAAATTTCAASTCTGGAGACCGTTTTCGAAAATGTCCGGATACGGATACAAAAATTCCGGACACGTGTGGACGGGACCTTAGCTTCGTTTTTTTGTTGTGCACATTCCAGAATATGTGATGCCACTCTTGGGAGTTGATTCTTTCATGTGTAAATATTTTAGTATGTTTGTCATAAAAGAGCAATTATCAAGGGAATGTCATGTGATCTGAAATGGGCAATTTGCATACGAAGGTACAAAGGTCTATTACAGCCCTTTTCTTTTTTTTTTTTTCTTTTTTTTTTGTCGCAACAAAATTCATTTTTTCTACACGTATGCCGAAGAATGGAAAACATAGCCTGCGTCACATCCGATGAAACAAAGCTGGGTATTTTGTAGGACGTTACGTTGCTGAAAGACCTACTGCCGCTTCCCATCATTGTGACTGATTGACGTATCATCTGGCAAAATAGGTTCAAAGTTTTACTTTTTAAAGTTTATATACAGAGTTTATTTGTAACGGCCACACAGATTCAGAGCTTGGGGTTCCTGTGGTGTCTTCCGATTGACGCGTGTGCCATTTTTCGGAAGTATAAATTTCCCGCTCTTTTCTTACCATTAGCAAATGAATTTCAAGCCGATTATTGGATTGGTTTAAATGGTTAGCGCCCTTGGTTTTTGTTGCAAGAACATATAGTACGTATTTATATAGTGATCTGGTAGTCATTCTCAACGACAAAGATAATTAGTTCGTAAGCTACTTTGAAACCTGAATTTCTTTGGGTAGACAACTGCATGACCAGATGTATGGTAACAGGTTAAGGGGATGATACCATATTTGAACAATGACGTCATGACCACTGACCCCACACAGATAGAAGCCAAATTTAATCAAATGTTTTTCTTGAATTTTTGTTGTATGGCCTTATGGCTGCATAGCTCAATTCTATTCGTACGATCTTTGGATTCAACTTCCATCCGAAAGCCTAAGTTTTAGCATCGATTTGTTCGTCCGATTGAATCTTGCAGACTCGGGTCAGCGAACATTCCACCGCACGATGCCTCTCCCCAGGCTCGCGCACCACATCACTACCGAGTGCCGGTTCGATCTGGGTTCTAAGCGAAGTACTTAATTTGAAGAACGGCTGAAACATTCTTTTAAAACTCTTCAAGGTTTCCCAATATCCTTTGCGAAACTTCTTGCTGGTCAGGCCGTAGAGGATTGGGTTGATGCATGACGTCATAAACACCAGTCCCACCGTGAAGTCATGAAACGACGTCTCGACTGACGACATTCCGTACGCGTAGAGTAACAGGTTTATCTGGTTTGGTAGCCAGCAAATCAGGATTGTCAAGGACGCCCCAAAAGCAATCTTCGTGATGTGTTTCCTTGGTTCTTTCATGTGCTGTTGAAATAACGAGCTGCTTTTCATCTTGTACAAGATATTGCTGTACATGACAGCGATCGCTATGAAGGGGAACAACGCCTTAGTAAAAAAGTTTATCGTGACTGTAACTTGCAGATGAGGTGTCCTGTCAAAGCTGCATCTTTGTCCTGAAGGGTTTTCAGGGATTATTTTGATATTGGGATGGCTGGGTATGATAAATAGTGCACCTAGAAAGTAGGAAAGAACGATCCCTCGGATGACTTTAGTCTTCGTAATATACGTCTTGTACTTGGTTGGCTTCATCACCGCGTACCATCGATCGATTGTCAACAGTAGAATAAGATAAACCGATGCAACACCAAAGATAAATAGCAGCAACCGCCCCCAGAGGACCTTGCAATAAATCCACAGCGCCGTCCTATTGGTTGGTTCTGGAAAYGAATCGATGAATAAGAAAGCTGGGGTGATGAATAAGAAAAAAGCGGTCACTATGTCTGTGATGGCCAAGGCCAGGAGAATTATGTAATAAGACTTCTTAAGCAGAGTTTTTCTTTTCTGGCAGAAAAACAAGGAAACAAGCGTGTTTCCAAACAAAGCTAAAATGGCGATGATAAAGTAACACACTTTCTTTATGACTGATAGGTATTCGGGGGGAAGTTTTGGACTCGTGTTAGTCGAATTAGAGATTACTGCTGAACAGTTGCAGCTGACATCTATCATTTTAGGTTCTTCAAAAAAATCTTTATTCTTTGTTACGTTCGTTTATATTGCTAGGGATTGTACAGTTTGTGTTATAAGATGTGGTACAAGATGTAATGTATTCTTGGTCAGGTCTCTTGGTGTTGCAGGATGTACTGTATTCTTGGTCAGGTTTCTTGGTGTTGCAGGACGTACTGTTCTTGGTCAGGTTTTTTGGTGTTGCAGGATGTATTCTTGGTCGGGTTTCTTGATGTTGCAGGATGTATTGTATTCTTGGTCAGGTTTCTTGGTGTTGCAGGATGTATTGTATTCTTGGTCAGGTTTCTTNTGTTGCAGGATGTATTGTATTCTTGGTCAGGTTTCTTGGTGTTGCAGGATGTATTGTATTCTTGGTCAGGTTTCTTCGCGAAAAGTTCTGAACAAGAAAAAATCAAAAGTAAGCAATTGAATGGTGAACCACTGCTATTTAGCTTTGCTCGTCCATTCATTGTCCAAGGACGTCGGTGCGATCTGCCTCACTATCTTCGTCAGCCAAATTCACCACATTAAGTAAGGAACCAAACAAACGCAGGCATCCCCTTGGCTCTTTTTGCTCCTCGGGCTTCCTGTGGCGAAGTCAAAAAAGAGAGGAGAGGGAGAAAGAAGAAGCTTTTTCTCTCCCTCTCTCGTCCCCACTCCTCCTCCTCTCTCGTTTCTAGTTCTTCTCTGCCATGAATAATTTAACACAGGGATCCCAACAGAGTATATATGGAGCCTACGGAGGAGGCTAGTCTCGGACATTTGGTTGCTGTCAATCTTCTTTCACGTCATAATCATTACTAAAGAGGAACTGTAGTCATAACCAAAAAGACCTCGAAAGCATTTAAGAAATGTTTGACAACAACAATCTTGGAAACCGCCCACAAATTTTGATTCTTAACAAAAGGAATCATTAGTAGAAGAGAAGGAACAACCTTTCTTAACTGTCACAATTAAAAATAACTGACTTATTAAARCTGCTTCCTCTATAATTAAGTAAACATTGCTCTAGTTTTGATTAATTTGTAGCAAAAGATTTTATGTTGTAGACACGTGCGCATTTAGCATCAAGTGGCCTCTCGATGTGAGCACGTCTGCTATTCTATTCTTCTCTGTTTTTCGAGCCATGAACATTCGATTTTTTTAGGTTATTATTTCTTTAAACTTCCTACTCTTTCAAATCCCTTTAAAATGATTGAGTTCAAATACACCGAGTGATCAAAATATGTCTTATTTCCAATCGATTGGCTTAAGGGATGATTTAGAGACAAAAAACTCGAAGGGGTCGCGTTTCGAGTATCTTCACGGTAATGTTCCACCTTCTCGCTGCTTTCCTTTCCTTTTATCATACATTATCTTCTCTATTTGCTTCCTTTCGTTTCGTTTGGCTTCCTTTCAAAGCCTCTCTTTTTAATACTAATTCGCTTCTTTATTCTTTTCTTTTTTCTCCTTTCAATTCCTCGACGTTCTCGTTTTGTTTAATTTTGCGGTTCCTTTTTCTTTCTTTCTTTTTTTTTTTTTTGCACCTTTTGTTCTCTTTCCTTTATATTTATAATATCAACAATTTGTAAATGATTATTGTGAACTGTTAAGCCCCGTTTACACTAGCGATTTTTGCGACGATTTTTGCGGCGATTTTGTCCATAATAAATAATGGTTAAGAATTTACTTGTAAAGTTTTTTTCAGGATACCAATATTTTCCTAGACGAATGTCTCTTTTAAAGGATGAGACAAAAGATTTCATATTTCCGAAAATTGGCACAAAATTCGCCGCAAAAATCGCCAGTGTAAACGGGGCTTAGCTTTGGAAGACACAACTAAGAAACCCCGTTCTTTAGTTTTACTTTAGATTTCGACAAACGTTGGAAACTTTTGCGACTCAAAAAGAAATTAAAATATCAATCAGAAAAATAATGCGAAGATTTTGGGTTAATGGGAACGGAAAACTGAAACATCGAGTAAAAAGAGAATGCAACTGTGAAAAAATTTTTTTTCCTCGCGAATTGGAATCAAGACTCTCACATCTGGGGTCTCGTTAATGGCGGACTTGACATCACATGTAATCAGAGTCTGTTAGGTCTCTCCCTTCCAATCGAGGTTTTTTCTCTGGGTGTTCCTCCCTCCGCCAAATCTAACACGCTAAATTCCAATTCGATCTGTGAGTTAGCCATGCCCTGACTTAGATCAGCCCAGAGTTTGTTTCAGGGTTCGATCCGTGAGTTAGCCGTGTCCTGACTTAGATCAGCCCCGAGGTTGTTTCAGGGTTCAATCTGTGAGTAAGCCGTGTCCTGACTTAGATCAGCCCAGAGGTTGTTTCAGGGTTCGATC